TTATAGGGCCAGCAGGTGATGTGGTGATTAAGGGTGCTGGATTCCCACACTGTCAACTGCAGTTCGAGTCCCAGACCTGGCGGCTTGCTTTCTCACTTCCCTTTTCTCTTTCTGTCTCTGTCTGGCGAAATTGAAAAATAAAATGGAATTAAATAAATACATAATTCTTTAGAAAATATTTATCTGCCTCCCTTGGTAGACTTTGAATCTCTACCTCCTTAAGAACAAGGACTGTATCTATTCCTAGATGCTCATATAAATACTTCACAAATAAAGTACCAAATGTATGCCCAGTGCCCAGCACAGTGCCCATCTCCATTGGTGGAGATGAGGAAGACTCACTAGGAACCAAGGGTCTTCTTAGTATGGTAATAGAACACAGAAGTCCAACTGGGCATAGCTTATTAGAGCATTTCATTTTACACCTGTCGAGTTAAATAAAGAAAAATTTAGTCCAATGATGTCCATTGCTTGTTCTTTCCTTAAAGTCAATTTCAGAAGGCTGGTCAGTTCCTGGATTGAGCCCAGAGTGGAAAGTGGTAGATCTAGAGAGGTAACAATGACACTTTCTAGTAAAAGGACTCTTTGGAGAGCCAACAAACATAGAAAGGCAGAAGAGAGAGTGGGGAGTTAATTATATCCATCAAAGTTACAAGAAACTATGCATGTCATTTTTCCATAAATCAACTTTATTGGAAAATAATTTAAATGTAATGAAAGGCACCATTTTAGGTGTACAGTCTGAACAGTTTTATCAAATATACTCAACTCCTATAACTACCACTATGCCCCAAAAACTCTTTGTGTGCTTCTGTTGTCACTTTCCTCTTCCCCAACTCCATGCCCCCAAAACACTGATCAGCTTTGGGTCACTAGAGATGTTCCATCTTTTCTAGAATTCCACATAACTTGACTCATAAAATATGTCTTTTGTATCACCTTTAGCTTAGTATGTTTTTGACATTGGTTCATGTTACTGTGCCAGTAGTTGGTTCCTTTCTATTGCTGAATAGAATCTCCTTTCATGAATGTATCACTATTTATCTATTCACTTGTTGGTGACCAGTTTCCAGTTATTATAAATACTGCTTTTATGAGCAACAGTACAGCCATGGATCTTGATAGAATTCTTCCGGAAGTACTCAACACCCAGATTTCAGGAGAGAGTTCACTAAAGTTTCAGTAGGATTTGTGTTCCATGTAAGATAGATACATTTGGTCATTCTTGTCACCCCTAGAGAAGTTTATCAGGAGAATATATCGGACCCAATCCCCAGCTTAAGAAATTCTATTCAAAAGCAAAGGAAGGACCCAATGATCTCTTCAGCTCTGTGATGACTGTCACAAGACAGAGCTACTGCTCTGTAAAGAGTGGGTAAAGGTCTCCTGCTTGTCCAGGCTTTACCAGTTATCCTCTTGGTGAGAGCCAGTGGAGGGTGGTTATTAAGAATTCAGATTTTTGGGACCAGCAGTTGGCATAATGGCTATGTTGCTGGACTCCCACGTAGTCAACCACAGTTTTGAGTCCTGGATCCAGTGTCTTAAACTCATGCTGGGCACGTGTGTGTGCATGCCCAAGATCTTGAGAGAAGAATGGAGGAGAAGGGATTGCAGTGTGGCCATACCCCCGGGAGGTGATTTCTCGCTTTTTGTCTCTCTGTCTCTGTCTTTCTAGCGAGTGCATGCGCCATATAACAAAAACTTCTAAAAAAAAGAATTCAGATTTCCAAGTTAAATAGATCTTGATGAAATCCCAAAACTGTGCTGCTAATTATTTTCATCTTAGGAAACCAATAACAACAGCTTATTTAAAGAATTTAGGTAGAGCATTTACTATACTGTCTACCAAAAAATAACCTCTTTTTCCTTCCTTAATTTATGTATGCCTCAGTTATCTCAAATACAGATGGGGGTAGAGCTACATGTCTAATATTTCTAGATCCACTACATCATGCCTCAAAATTAAAAGGATTTTTGGGGGAACCAGCAGTTAGCGTAATGGCTATGTCGCTGGACTCCCACGTAGTCGACCGCGGTTCGCGTCCTGGACCTGGTGGCTTAAAACTCACGCCGGGCGCGTGTGCGTGCGTGCCCAAGATCCCGAGAGGAGAATGGAGGAGAAGGGATTGCGGCGTGACCATCCCCCCTGGGGGGTGATTTCTCGCTTTCTGTCTCTATGTCTCTCTCTGTCTGTCTGGCGAGCGCATGCGCCCTACAGTGAAAATCTCTCCAAAAAAAAAAAAATTAAAAGGATTTTTCACTTCCAGATCAAGGTTAGCGCTTGTAGTAGTAATAAAGTTACAGTGGTAATAAAAATGCTATAGATCTCAACTAGCTAATATTAGCTGTGCACTGATGAAAGTACAAGAGTCCTAACATGAGCACTAAATGGCAAACACCAGACCCAGGTGATGTGCTGTGCTAGAGAGGGCCAGCAAGTTTTTCTTTATGGTAAAGATCTAGGAAAAGAAGCAACAAAGGGAGATATGAGGCTTACAAAATACACTTGGAGGAAAGGAGAGAGTAGGAAACTCATTTAGACCAGTCAAGCAGTATAGTAAACAAGGCTTTGAATGGAGAGCCACAGAGTTCAGATATTCCTCTGTTGCACTCTTAGTATATTTACTGTTGGTCATTCCAATATGCAGATAAAGCGAAAATGAATTTCTCCAAAGCTACAAAGTTCTTTGGAGTAATTTCTTGGAGAATTTATATGAAACTTCAGCCAAAATTCAGTTGCCTAGTGGAGTCTCTTAGGAATCTGGCGGCAGCAGCACAGCACAGAAGTCTCCTCCACATTACCCAACACCTAGTGTTAAATTATGTGACAGAATCAAAGTGATTTCAGGTGAATCAAGGGTCAAGGGGGGAAAGAGGGAACAAAATTTTAAGGGACATAAAAATAGAAAATGATCAGGACCAGCAGTTAGTATAATGGCTATGTCGCTGGACTCCCATGTAGTCAACTGCGGTTCGAGTCCCAGACCTAGTAGCTTAAACTTACGCTGGGCACGTGTGCATGCGTCCCAAGATCCCAAGAGGAAAATGGAGGAGAAGGGACTGCGACATAGTCATCCCCCCAGGGGGTGATTTCTCCCTTTCTGTCTCTCTGTCTCTTTCTAGCGAGTGCATGCACCCTATAGCAAAAACCTCTCCAAAAAAAAAAGGAAAATTATCTGTTGATGATAATGTGTATGTGAATATCTTTGACTGGAATAACATGTAGTATATTTGTGCCCAGAAAGTCCATTATGTATGTTGTAAAGATGTGCGATAATTAAATGTAAATGAAAAAAAAGGAAAAAAATATCAAGAATCATGAAGAATAAAGAGACTATGGACCTAGTTAGAACAAAGAGGGGAGCAGAGAGAGAGAGACAGGTGGAGGTCAGAAAGTTCTTAGAAAACAGAATTAAGATGTATCTGAGTGAGCATTTATTGAGCAGCAATACTTACTTTCAAGAAACTCAGTCTACTGGGAAACAACTATGTAAACAATTCACTAAGAGGTAAGGTAGAATATGATCTCTCCATCCAATACTACCTATTTATTTAATTTTTAGTTTTTGGTATCTGTCTCCTTACTTTAGAATCAAGGTCTGTGAGAACAAAATGGCTTGTTTCTGTTCACTGCTGAGAGGCTCAGTGCCTAAGAGGTGCCTGATATGTTAGACAGTTAGTACATATTTGCTTAATAGACCTGAGCTGGGCTAGAACTGAGTATAAGGGGTTACAAAAACACAAGGAAAGGAAGATTTCATGTAACAAAGAATTAGAGAAAGCTTTTTGAAGGAGAATCATTTCATTTAAGTCGCAGACCACTTGGACTAGAGGGGACTTAAAAAAAACAAAGATAATGCTCTAATTTTGCAGATCAGAAAATGGAGGAACACATTTACAGCTAGTAGGGACTAGGTCTGGGTCTCAAGCTTCCAGGTCTTATTTCCGTTCCTAAAAGTTACAGTCCTATAAGGGAGAAATATGACAAGTAAACCCAAGGACAGGTGAAGGAAGGAAAATGGCATGGGAGGTGGAAAGTATAGGGCCTGTCCAGGACCCGTCTAGTCATTGAAATAAAGATGATTTATTTTAATGACTGAAAGGGAAAGAACCTATGCATAGGATGGATTTTCTAAGAGCTCATGGAAAATGAGTATTATGAAAAAATTATGCATGGATTTAAAATTTTTTCTGTACCAAAATAAACTCATAATTTAATTCCAGTTTTTCCATCAATGTTTTAAAGTCCCCTCATATACTATGGAGGGCAGGAAGATAAATTTAAGTATGCAATAAAGCCCACTGCTGTGGTGCAGTCAAGAAAGGAAACTTCATGAAGAGGTTGGTAGGATCCTGATGAACAAACAGATGGACTATAGATAATCAGAAGGCAAGGAAAGACCCAAGTGCATGGAAGGAAAAGTTCAAGATGGTCAAGAAACTTGTAAATGAAGATAGAGACTACTGAGATAGATACAAATATATACAAGAAAAGGGTCAGATTATGGAAAATCTCAAAAGGTCAAGCTGTGAACCTTAGACTATTGACTAATCCTAGAGAGACAATCGAGATCCTTGAATGTGCATAACAGGAAGAGAAAATGAGTACAAACTGGTTATTCTCAAATTTAAGATATCCAAAATATTTTAATTTCTACTTAGTTTTCAAAATGTATCACCGTCATCAAGATTTCTGATGATCTAAGACTGGCTAAAATAAAGACCTTGTATATTTACATAATATTAAAATATGAAGCTAAGTGGATTATATTTCATTTGCTCAGAAAATGTGTTTTTTCTTTAAATAGTCAAAATAATATAAGGTTTCACAATGAAGACATATTCATTAAAACTGGAGGATTCTTTTGCTAAGCCTTGGAAAATTGTTTATAAACAATTATTTGAAAAACTGATGAAGTATTAGCAAGCTAGATGGCAGAAGAAATAAAATATATAATCACTGTATAAAGTTCCAGAAACACTTTATTTAAAAATGGGAGCTGTAAATGCATAACAAAATAACATAAGTAATAAATGTAACAAAAATAAATAAGGAGAATAATGTATTCATACAAAATAAAAATAACATAGTAAAAGGCCAAATGTTTATAATTGAACAAAACTGTGTAAACACTCAAACAAAATGTAAGTAAAGTAGATTCTAATAGTTCCCTAAACTTCTTACCTTCTACTTCCATGTGGATATAATCAGTGTCCAAATATTAAATGAAAGAGGGAACAATGGTTGATTATTTTGTTCAATTTTTTTCTTCAAGTGAATTGACCCTGTTTTGATGTTCTGTTTATTCCTCCAAAGCATTTGTCTTTCCATTTATGTTCTTTAAAACCTTTTTAGTCTTCCTTTATTAGATAGAATGGGGAACTTAGTTTACAAGGAGAATAGTTCATTTACTCTTCTTTTTTAACTTAAAGAAAAATATGAGATCCATTATATAACAGGCTTTTTTTTTGTTTGTTTCTACATCTCTACAACAAGTTTTATTTTGCATCTTTATTAGCTGGTCCAATAGTACAGGATTTTTAAAATCCTGTAAAATTTTGAAGAATGAAGAGTTAATTTGTTTCTTAAACAAATGTAGCACAGTATTATTGCTGAAATATTAAAGACCATTTCATAAAAGTTGCAAAAGTTGCAGTTTAGCTTTTATAGACTGATGAGGGTCAAGGGGAAAATATAGGCCTACTACTAATACGTTAACTGAATTAAGATTTTCACCCAAATGATAGTGTTCTGGAAACACGAAGAGATCATTATGTCTTTTTAAAACTTATCCCAATGTGAACTTACTGGAAAGAGGGGGGAAAAAGTTTATAGAAGATATTTTTCATAGGCTTCCTGTTTAGTAGCATAGGCCCAAAGCCTTTTGTCGTCATCTTGCAGGGTCTTATAAATGTGTAAGACTGAGACAGGATTTACTATTTAGGTCCTATAGGGAAACACACAGAAGCAATTCATTGCTTGGGAATCAAACTACCAACTAATCTTATGACTACTGGTTCTCCAAGTCTCCTAATGAAGAAAAATTTAACCTCATGATCATTGCAAGGGAAATTTTCTTTCCAACTGTCACATATAAACTTGGTAACACAGGACCAATATACATGTTCTTAGTTTAAAAAATATACTCCACCTAAACTATCTGTCTAGTTTAATCTTTCTAGTTATCATTTAGCCTAAAATGAGACAAAATCTTATTTCCATTAAAAAAATTGAAAAAAAGTGCCAAATTGATCTTTTTTGAAAGTGGAGTAAAACACTGTGAGGTTAAAACAAATACAGTATTATCAATCTCCTATGTACAAAAAAGATGGTTAGTCCTTATTGATATATAGCTATGTCCACCTACCACTCCCAGCAAATCTTAGTGCAAACATAATACTCTCCGTAAACCCCAAGACAATTTACGTAGCAACAAAGTTATATAAATCACATCTATGTTGGAAAATTTTAGGACACAGAATGACTTGTGAAAGGTTGGCTTTACTGTGGTGAGTAATATGTCATCGTGTCCAATGGTAATAAGTACTAATATAAATCCTACTATTAAGAAGCAAATAGAATGGTTTAACAAATCTGTACAGATGTAGAGGAAGTCCATTTCTGAGAGCAGCTTGGCACAGGAGACATGGGGGTTCAGAAATGTTGGGTATGTTTGCTTGTAGGTCACAGCATGGCTTAAAAAAAAAAACAAAGATCTATGAAGGGAAACGATGCAATGATATAATTCAATTTGAAAATCATAAAACCACAAAAGGCAAAAACTGCCACAATCTGCTTTTTCCTATGTGTGCATCAAGTGGTTATCTAAAGTCTGCAAAGATTGATAAGACACTACGTTATAGGTAAAAAATAAATAAATAAAATTAAGAGAGGGATAACAAGATTGTAGTTGACCAAGCTGTCTTGTTTTGTATTAAGTCAACACTATGTTGCTTCCCATATTCCTAGTCATATTCCACAGGTAATTATTTTTAACGATCAAGGAAAAGTCATTCATGTACTGTAACATCTTCCTCTTCCCCATCAGGGTTGAACCTATTGAAATGTATACTGAAATCAGCCTCAGATTCGGCATTCTCAAATTCGGCTGAGACTGAGATAGCAGCAGGATGAAGAGCCCTAGCTTCTGGTTGGCAAAGTGTCGGTGTCTGACCCGGGCTACTGTGATTATTCACAGGGCTGGACTTCTGTTTTGGTGGAGATGGCAAGATAGCACTGGAAAATCCCATGTTGTTCAGAGCCTCCAAAGTTCCATCTGGGTCTATCATAGCATTGATGGCTGAAGGAATAAAGAAAAGGAATGGGTAAAGAGAAATATAATTCTAAATGTAGTTAAATTAGGATATGAACATTATTTATGCTTTGGATAATATTTCAACTATCAGTGTATATTTAATCTTACTATGGCCAATAGAGAGAGACAGGGAAAGTGAGAAATCACCCCCTACCCCCAGGGGGTGTGACCACACCACAATCCCTTCTCCTCCATTTTCCTCCAGAGACTTGGGGCACTCATGTACAAGTGTTCAGCTGCCAGGTCCAGGACTCAAACGCAGAGGAGGCCAGGTGGGATCTGGTGCCTTAACCAGCATGTCACTTGTTGGCCCTAAAACTCCACTCTTAGTAATTCTGGGTTAATTTATACTGGAGATTACACATACCTGAATTATTTCTCTGAGTCCCTTTATGAGTTACTTATGGGTATTTTAGAGACTGTCATAAGACTTGGAGATGCTGAATTTAAGACAGATCTTTTTGAAATCTGCTCTCATTATTATGAGAGGGTAGTGAAAATATTGGTTACGGTTTTTTAATAAACATGCCTAGCTCTATTTATCATTCAGAAAATGGGGGGTTAGTTATTAAGGTAGAGTTCAGAGTAACCTCAATGCTGGAGAGGCCAGAAGAACATCAGCATACTCTGAGTGTTAGAACAGTATGTAGTATACTCTGAAATGTTAGAATAACATATTGTCATTTGTCTTGGTGGGAGTATTAGGATATTAGCTATATGTGTCACTAAGCCTTAAAGATACCCTCATAACCTAAACATTGATCTTTCACAGCAGCCCCAGCAAACCAAACAGACCTTGATGCCTCCATAGGAGGGGCCAATTAAAGACCAATTTCCTATGGCCTAGTGATTAAGGTGATTGGATCTCATATAGCCCACCACCTGTTTTGAGTCCAGGGTCTGGAGGCTTGAGAAACACATTGGGTATCTAACTTTGCATGCCCAAAATTCCAAAAAGAGGGAGAAGTGAAGGAGAAGGGATTGAAGTGCAACTATGCCCTGTGGGAGTGCTTTCTTGCCTTCTGCTTCTCTCTTGCAAGTGCACACATTCTCTAGCAAAATTTAAAAAAAGTAAAAGACCAGCTTTCCACCCAAAAGATCTTTAGGTGGACAAGAGAAGTTCTCAGGAAGTGATTTTCAACTAGGCATTGGGCAGAACAGGGAATTAGGCGGAAGAAGCACACAGATGTAAGAATCAGTTTGTAACTCCTTTAAAAGTAATCTCCATTCCACCTGTTAACAATCACTGTGTTAGCAAGCCATTTTTACTCACAGGGGTATATCATAACCTTAAGGTGTGCTGGGGTTGAATAAAGGTTAAGAATCACACAAGCAAGACCTATGTATTATGATTACCAAATCTAATAAAGCATGAGTAAAGGGACCAGCAGATGGTGTAATGGTTACATCGCTGGACTCCCATATGCCCAATCAAGGTTCAGGACTCAGACCCAGAGGTTTGAAATTCAAGCTGGATGCACATGCATGTGTGCCTAAAATCCTGAGAGGAGAATGGAAGAGAAGAAATTGTGGCATGGCCATCTCCCTCAGCAGGTGGTTTCTTGCTTTCTGTCTCTTTGTTTCTATCTGTCTCTCCGATGAGTAGACACGCCCTACAGTAAAAAATTCTCTAAAAAAATAAGTGAGTAGAATTAGCTGTTCACTCTGGGACCTACTTATTTACCACTGGGGACTTCTAGGCTAAGACATACACACGTGCTAACATGCAATCTAGATCTGACATAAACTGAAATGTCCCTGTCAAAGTATAGGAGGCAAACAAGAGTTGTGTTCATTTATTCTTGCTTTCCTCTTCTGATTCCCATGGCTAATACACACTCATTACTTGTGGTTGAGCAATTATTGTTTGTATTAGAATATAAGTTCATTTGAGGTTATACTATCAATATAATTTAAGAACTGTCAAATCAAATAAATAATGCTAATTAATAATAAGCACTTTCAGTTGTACACACACATTTTAATATATTGTTTTATGTACAGTTTACTATTTGGTCGTCAGAAAAGTCATGATGCATCTTTGCATAGAAAAACATAGAAAAATACATCATCGGGAACCAGCAGTTAGCGTAATGGCTATGTCGCTGGACTCCCACGTAGTCGACCGCGGTTCGCGTCCCGGACCCGGTGGCTTAAAACTCACGCCGGGCGCGTGTGCGTGCGTGCCCAAGATCCCGAGAGGAGAATGGAGGAGAAGGGATTGCGGCGTGACCATCCCCCCTGGGGGGTGATTTCTCGCTTTCTGTCTCTATGTCTTTCTCTGTCTGTCTGGCGAGCGCACGCGCCCTACAGTGAAAATCTCTCCAAAAAAAAAAAAAATAAAAATAAAAATACATCATGACTTTCCTTGATGACCTTATATATATAACTTATATAAATTGTAACCAGTTTGTAACATCTACCCTGTTGTAAAATCTAAGCATTAAAATAAGCCCAAGATTGAATTGTATTATATTCTTAATTTAGATATCACTTTTTATGAGTAATTTGGATATGAAGAAGTCTATATTTTTATACATAACATTTAATCACATAATATCCAAATAATGATACGACTTATACTGCATTTGTCCTGAATCGTTAGCTCTTTATACCAGTAGTAAATTTACCTTGTAGCTGCTTTTCAACCCTTTTCAGCTCCTGTAAAATAGAAGAAATCTCCTGCAGAAAAAAACAATGGACAAAAATTAGCTTAACTAAAAGATTTTCATCTGAGAAGCAATGAATCTCACTCTGATTTTTATCTGGAACACTTAACATTATCTACATGGTACTACCTTAGTGGCAACATGACATAAGATAATTATGATGTCTAGTAAGCAAAATGCAAATTTAAAAATCTTTAATAGAATGTTTTTTCCCAGTAAAATATTGATAGAGGATAAAAAGTTCCGAGTGATTTCGCAACTGTAAAAGCAAAGATTTTGAAACTTTTATATTGATCAATATTGTGACAACTTTGTAAAACTCCTAAGATTTTCTTTGGAAAAACTGTAACCTCAACATTAGGATTATACTCTGAGCAATGAAAATCTGCACAGATTTATTAAAATGGAGACAAGCACTATATTAGGTAAATAAATGGAAACAACTCATGCCAACTTAATGTTTAAATTTAAAGTAGGCCCCATAGTTCAGCAGTTAAATTCCTGTGCAGAGGAAGCCAGGTTGCACATAGGTGACCTAGCCCTGGAGGGTTTACATGCTGGGCAAGTGCATGTACCCAGAATCCTAATGGGGTGGAAAACTAGAGAAAAATGGATTGCAGCATAACCAGGTTCACGGAGAGGTGCTTTCTCTCTCTCTCTCTCTCTCTCCCTCAGGCATGCATGCACCTTGGCATAATAAAATTAAGATTTGTTCTTATTTCAAAATTGTGTATTAGTAATGTATAATTATTACAGGAATATGAAAATATGATTGCAAAATAGTGAGAAACACTAAAGATGTTCTCCTTCACACCTTTTACAACTTTGGGGGGGGGGGAATCAGCATCTTAAACCCCTGTAGGAGTCAGTTGAAAGAATAAAAATTACCCATTTGTGAATTTGTATCTTCTTTTATAAATGTAGATCAACAAATTGCTCAAAATAAATACTTTATCTTTCCTTTAAAATATAGCCCTGACATTGGGACCAGCAGATGGCATAGTGGTTACCTTGCTGGACTACCATATGGCTGACTGCAGTTTGAGTCCTGGACCCAGTGGTTTGAAAATTGTGCTGGGCATGTGTGTGTGCATGCCCAAGACCCCAGGAAGAGAATAGAGAAGGGACTCTGGGGTGGCCATTCCCTTTAGAGGGTGATTTCTCACTTTCCTTCTCACTGTGTCTGTCTGTCTCTCTGGCAAGCACATGCACCCTAAGGCAAAAACCTGTAAAAAACAAACAAACAAAACAAACAAATATATATATATATATATATTTATATATAATATATATATAATCTCCAAATTTTATCTAATGTAATTAATAATATATATATATATTTCTGAAATTAAGATGTTTTTATCTTTAAGAAAAGTTACCATACCATGCTTGAGGTTTTCACAATAGGAACTTCACTTTCAGCTCTTAACTTGCTTTCTATTTCATCCCAATTCCGATCTTTGTCTTTAAATAATATCCTATAAATCACAAACATAAGTATATTAGTTTTCATATTTTCCCATCAGATTTTTTGTTAATGATACCAAAACCAATATGTCTTTCAAAGCTACATAATGTGGGATGAGGGAAATCATTCCATGAACTTAAAATTAAATACTGAGCCAATAGACGGGACCAGCAGACAGCATGACGGCTACGTCACTGGACTCCCATGTAGTCGACCACAGTTCAAGTCCCAGACCCAGTGGCTTAAACTCACACCAGGTGTGTGTGTATGCATGCCTAAGATCCCAAGAGAAGAATGGAGGAGAAGAGATTGTGGCGTGGCCATCCCCTCAGGGGGTGATTTCTCACTCTCTCTCTCTGTCTCTCTCTGTCTTTTTGGCGAGCGCACGTGCCCTATAGCAAAAGCCTCTCAAAAAAAAACAAAAACAAAAACAAAAAACCTGAGCCAACACTACTGATTCATGTGTGGAAAAGATCTGTATCACAATATTGACTGGTTATTAACACATGTATAAATTCTTTAATTTTATCTCATTCTTTATTGCAAATCAAATATAAAACAAATGTTGATGCTATAATCTCCAAATTTTATCTAATGTAATTAATAATATATATATATATTTCTGAAATTAAGATGTTTTTATCTTTAAGAAAAGTTACCATACCATGCTTGAGGTTTTCACAATAGGAACTTCACTTTCAGCTCTTAACTTGCTTTCTATTTCATCCCAATTCCGATCTTTGTCTTTAAATAATATCCTATAAATCACAAACATAAGTATATTAGTTTTCATATTTTCCCATCAGATTTTTTGTTAATGATACCAAAACCAATATGTCTTTCAAAGCTACATAATGTGGGATGAGGGAAATCATTCCATGAACTTAAAATTAAATACTGAGCCAATAGACGGGACCAGCAGACAGCATGACGGCTACGTCACTGGACTCCCATGTAGTCGACCACAGTTCAAGTCCCAGACCCAGTGGCTTAAACTCACACCAGGTGTGTGTGTATGCATGCCTAAGATCCCAAGAGAAGAATGGAGGAGAAGAGATTGTGGCGTGGCCATCCCCTCAGGGGGTGATTTCTCACTCTCTCTCTCTGTCTCTCTCTGTCTTTTTGGCGAGCGCACGTGCCCTATAGCAAAAGCCTCTCAAAAAAAAACAAAAACAAAAACAAAAAACCTGAGCCAACACTACTGATTCATGTGTGGAAAAGATCTGTATCACAATATTGACTGGTTATTAACACATGTATAAATTCTTTAATTTTATCTCATTCTTTATTGCAAATCAAATATAAAACAAATGTTGATGCTATAATCTCCAAATTTTATCTAATGTAATTAATAATATAACTGCTACTTATACTTAATGTAATTAATAAACTGCTACTATACTATTGCAAGTAGTATAATAATTTAATGAGAAAATAGGTTGCATTAAGTAAGAATACTTCTGTTTGCTAAGACTTCTTATAAGAATAGGCACCTTAATGATTGAGCAAAGTGTGAACATTATTTTAAAGACTAAAAGTTGGCATACTTACTGTTCTTTTAAGTTTTAACTTCATGTTAGTATATTTGCATATAATGACCTATGAAGAGTTAAGACTATACTTTTGATAAAAGTAATTGCCAATAAAGATACTTATATTAGAAACTAAATTCAATTATCTTAACTTATAAGGTAGCAAATTTTTTTAATTTCACAGAACATTTGGAATCTATGAGACACGATTCAGAAGTTTTAGAAAGATTTAAATACTAGCCACCTTTATTGTTTCTTTTTAAAATGTCTTCATTGAGGCTGGAAATTTAGTGTAACTGCCTCATATAAACATCAACACTATACAATATTAAGTAAATAAATTACTACTACTGGAAGCTGAGCAGAATTTATGCAGTAAACAAAATTAATATTTGCATTTCTTCAAAGGTCAATATGCCAGTTTTATCATCTCTAAAAACATGAAATTCATCGATATCAAGTCAAATCTGGATCATTAAGAATTCCACATAACTCCATGCTTAAGAAGCAACAATAGATCTAGACTCTGGTATAAGAATATCCTTCTGACTTACTATTAAGTTTTCTCAACTCTAAAGACTAAATATTCTTGCTAGCTATCTTTCTAAGATAGCAAAAATTTTATCCTAATGACTGTGATATTAAGGCATAAGTAAATTATCATGTTCTTGTAAGAGTCCTTGCAGCATTAGGCCTCATAGAAAGGATGAAAATAATGATTATTTCATGGACCAACTTAGAACTACAACAGATCTGTACAACAGAGAAAATCTGTTCTTAGCCAGTGAATTTGCCAGACGATTATTACTGAGCAGAGAAAGTATGCTATCAAAACTGTTAAACCATAGGTGTTTCACTTTTGAGGAAAATGGTTTAGAATGGTCACTTAAGGTTCCTGACTGATGGAAAAAATGTTGCACTGAAGGGGTAAAAAGCTTATTTTTAAAGACTATCTGTAAATATCGTGGTACAGATTTAACAGGACAAATTTATCGTTTTGGTGCTCTAAAATGAACTCTACCATGATACTTAGATACAAGGAAGCAGAAAAACAGAACAAGAAGTTACTTTAAGCCAGGCTATAATAGTTACAACTTAACCATTAAGAAATCTTACACACATACCCCCAAAAAAGTTTTCAAAGTGATCTTTGGTTTATATTATGAATTCAAAATCATAGTTAGGCTGAACTTCAGCATGAAAAACATATGAAAAATGTATTTCATACAGTAAATTAAACTATTAAACAAAAAATCGTTTTTGTTTGTTTGTTTGTTTTTGAGAGGTTTTTGCTATAGGGCATGTGCGCTCTCCAGAAAGACAGAGAGAGACAGAAAGATAGAAAGTGAGAAATCACCCTCCCCCCACCCCCAGGAGGGATGGTCACTCCGCAATCCCTTCTCCTCCATTCTCCTCTCAGGATCTGGGGCACACACGCACATGCACCTGGCGTGAGTTTAAGCCACCGGGTCCAGGACTCGAACTGCGGTCGACTACATGGGAGTTCATTGACATAGCCATTACGCTAACTGCTGGTCCCACAAAAAGTCATTTTCGAAAAGACATTGGTTCAGGAAAAAAAATGGTGTAGGCTCATACTCTAAGCACTCCAGTTTATTCTCCAGCACTGCCCTTTAATACATGCAAACTGGGGTGTTACAATCTATCCAATGAAAAGCCATAGTTCACAACTTGAGGTCATTTTTACATGGAATACAATGTAAATGCTGCAAAACGGCATTTGCTTGAATTGTATGTTGATTCTGAAATACCTGTATTTTTCACCACATGTATTATTTTTGTTAAAAAGATTTAAGTATAATAAAGAGAAAAGAGGACAAAACTACATAAATTACAGTGTTCTTTTTTGTTGCTGTTATTTAAGAAGTTTGTATCTTTTTTTGCCATAGGGTGTGTGCACTTGCTGGAGACAGAGACAGACAGTGATTGGGAAAGTGAGAAATCAATCCCAGGGAGGATGGCCACACCACAATCCCTTCTCCTTCATGCTCCTCCTGGGATCTTGGGCACACACGCATTCACACTCACCTGCTGTGAGTTTCAAGACACCAGGTCTGGGACTCAAACCACAGCAGACCATGTGGACGTCCAGTGATATAACCACCCTGGTGGTCCCTACACTAATCTTTTTAACATGAGGAAGTATATGTGGTGTGGCTATCCCCCTAGGGGGTGATTTCTCATTTTCCCTTTCTCGATTTTCACTGTCTCTCTGGTAAGTGCACATCCCTTCTTCTTTTAGAAGGCAATAGAATAAAGAGAGGATCTGGTGCATTTTAAGGAGCAAAGACATGAAATCAAGACATAAAAGAAAGTTGAATTAGTTTCTTAACATGCCCAGTAAAAGTAACCTATCTAGGCCATCCTGTGTTTCCTTGTACATTTCTAAATTTGACTGAAAGACAATGCAAACTCCTTTTTACCATAGCTTACATTATTAAAAATGGTTGTTTTCCAAGAATATCTCAACATAACTAAAAAAAAAAATTTTTTTAATTTCATTTTAATGGCTTTTTTAAAACTACATAATCGTTTTTTCTTTATTTTTTATTTTTTTCATTTCATTTTCTTTTATACATTCAATCACATTATTATTTGTCTTACAGAATGGATATTTCAACAGGGGAACATTTCTCCCTAGTACAGATGATAAAACTACAAAATATCTTTAACAGATAATACCACATTTCTTTGTGCCATTATACTTGAATAAAAATTATAATGTGCTTTTAACTGTGTTTATTGGTGCTCGCCAAACTTTTTTCTGGTTATAAATAAAATGAATCTAAGTGACTATGAATGTTAATTCTCAAATTATAAAAGGGCTGGCTATTTCAGACATTAGCTTCTCTTTGTCCCCTTTATGCTGTTCAGCTTATGGTTATTGCCAATACCTAAAAGGTAAGGAACATGTTAGTGACAGCAGTTAAGATTCAGTTCCAGTGACTTCACCTGGTCCCTAACAAGTATGGCAACAGGCCTGAAAAAGCGTAACAGATTCCTGTTAATAATAGAAATGAGGAGGTTGGAAAGTACCTGATCTTTCCAGCTGTTTTATCTATAGATTGTCTTATCTTCTTAGAGAATTGAAAGACAGATGACAGCAGCAGATTATCTCCCATAACCTGGAACAGCCAAAGAAAAAAGTAGATCTTAAAATATTACCATTTTATGATATAACTATTATGAATGTTAGTCACAACTCAACATAGTAGGGGTGTTTAGTATCTAAGTTCATTTTAATTTTAAAACATCAATGCAGAATATACTTAGAGGAATGTGTAACTATTATAAACTGAAGAAGACAAAGACTATTAACAAAGGAGTTTCTTTGTTAAATAACTTCTCAAGTTTCTATACTGGTCATACCACTTTATTATTTTACTTTATTTAAGAAGTTTATTTCACAGGTATTTCTTTGTCTACTCACCATTTCCCTGCCTGACCACTACCATTGCTACATCCTATCGTAATGTCCCATACATACTTAACAAGCAAAAGGCAGGGTTCCATCTTTAAAAACTAAACAGGCATTTTGTACAATACATTTTGGCAACGGAACATGGACAACATTTAAGAAACACAATAGGGAACATTCTTGCTCTGCATTTTAAAAAAAGGACAGCCAGGGGCCAGCAGATGGTGTGGTGTTTAATGCGCTGGAGTCCCACATGGCCAACAATGGTTCGGGTCTCAGATTCAGTGGCTTGAAAATCACCCCAGGGGTGTGTGTGTGTGTGTGTGTGTGTGTGTGTGTGTGTACAGGGAAGAAACTGTGGTGTGGCTATCCCCTGGGGAGTGATTTCTCATCTTCCCTCTCTCTGGTGTTTGCTGTCTCTCTGGCAAGCACAAAACCCTATGGCTAAAACCTAAAAAGGACAGCCAGATATCATCAGTTACAGAAATGAAATAAGATGTAAAATTTTGGCAAACTGTTTAAACAATTTTCTTAAAGCAGCTTCCTCCACAGTCAGAGATCCTGAATAGACTTCTGGTCAGTCATCCGGAAGCAATTTTTTGCATAACTGATGAACTTGGCTTCCACTTTGGGAAGAGAATTACCCTTTTCTGTACTTGCTTATATTTTTGCTTTAATGTTTCTTACAGAACTAGTTCGTTTGTGTTTCATAAGTTTTTCCTGGATTTTGAATACTTCTTGACTTTTACTCTTAGTATTAATGGTTTTGAATCCTTCCCATTCTGGCTTGATTTTTGTGCATTATTGGCAGGACTATCTTTATAAGGATTTCTTCAATAGAGCTTTTTCTTTGGTTTCCTCATCTTCAAAACCATTATCCCCAGAACAAATTTTACTTTTGTCTGTGGAACATTGCTACCACATCTGGGGGTAATCTGTTTTCTAGATATACTTAAGATTTTCACATCCTTCTCCCCGACAGCTACTGAGTACTATCCACTAATGTGCACAGGCCCTGAACCACACTTCAACCTTTAGACCAGTGGTGGTGTTATTTCAAAATCCCCAGGGGAAACGGTTAGCTGTACACTTTTAATGTTGCCAGTGTTACTTTAACTGGACTGCCTTCACAATGCATTGCCTCTGCCTCAACAATCTGCAATTCATTTCTTGCTCTAGCCCCTAAACTGACCGTTCATTGACCTGGCATTCATTTTCATCATTATCCACTTTAAACTGATAAATCTGTCATAGTTCACAATGAAAAGATAGCTCTGGCCCCAGGGGACTCATGTCCATTTTTGTCTCTTCTTTCATGGGGTAGTAGCAATCACTTAGGTGGGAGAGAAGGCAAATGGAGAAAAGCGACTATTATTCCACAGAACAGCCACACAGGATTGAATCATTCCAGGGCAGTCATATCGCTTTTAAAAAGTAATCCATTTTATTTTCAATTACTATAAAGACGCTCTTTCGTATACTTCCAATTCAGATAATCATGAAAGGGAAGATTTAATAGTAATGAATTTATTATTTATCCTTTCACTGAATAATATGAATATAGAGATTGAGAAGAATACAATCCTTGCTCTCTAGGACAGAGTCTGGTGTAAATTTAAAAAATGTATTCAAAATAATAAGTTTTTATGATGGGGGTTGGTACAACCCTAGTTGAGATCCATAGGCAAAACCAAGAGTCAGCAAAATGCTATATAGAGCAAAAGAATGAAGATTTTAGACTTAGAAGGTCATATGATCTCTCACAGTGCCTCAACTATCCAGTTAGAGTGAAAGCAGCCATGATAATATGCAAATTAATGAGTCTGACTATTGTAACAAAACTTTATTTATAAAGCAAGTGGGAGACTGGATTTGGCATGTGGGCTGAAGTTTGCCTGCTCTGGGCTAAACCATGTATAATGCAAGTTACAGTATGCTAATAAAAAAGGACTAAATTTCAATCTAGATGTACATTTAAATATCAGCTCCTTATATTGTCAAAACTATATCCACACAGTGTGTATTCAACAATGCTATTATAACTATCCTTCACATGCCTTCTGTTGTCAATGGAAAAGGGATTCTCTTTGACATATTTGAGCAGGAAAACTGCTAGATCATGACATCTTTATATTCAACTTCAGAAGATAATGTCAAACTGTTTTCTAGACTGTCCATCAATTTAACCTCTACCAGTAACACATAAGAAAGCTTATAGTAACCATATAACATTCAAAACTTAAATTTATTGTTAATTGAATGGCTATATAACACTCTCACTGTAGTCTCTGAACACTCATTAGACACTTTTCATATTTTCTAGGTATTTCTCTCAGTAGAGTGTTCATATCTTTAGCCAACTGTGCTATATTTTTTAATTAATTGGTAAAAGTTCTTCATATATACTGTACACTAATTTTTCTGTGGATTTTTAGTTTTACAAGTCTGTAACTTCTCACATTTCTTAAAGTATTCCTAATGTTAATATACTCAATTTTATCAATCTTTTAAAGTAAAAACATGCCTTTTAAGAAATCATTCCCTAACCAAGGTTGAAAGATACTTATCTACATTTTTATTTATTTATTTATTTATTTTTGCTACAGGGGGAAATGTATGCTCGCTGGGGACAGAGCAAGGGAAGGAAGAAGAAGAAGAGAGGAAAAGTGAGAGGAGCCCCAGGGGCGAGGGGTGGTGAGATGGCCAAAGGGCAAGTACTTCTCCATTCTCCTCTCAAAACTTTGGGAATGCATACACATATACCCGGTGTGTTTTTCGAGTTAACAGAGTGGGACTTGAACCACACAGTTGGCCATCTGGGATCTAGAGCCTTAATGTCCATGCCACTTGCTGGCTGTTATTTTTAACTAATAGTTTAATAGTTTCCTTTTGCCACTTAAGAACTTAATTCCTGGGGCCAGCAAGTGGTGTGGGTGTTGAACTCCCACATGGTTGACCATGGTTCAAGTCCCAGACCTAGTGGCTGGCTTTCTCATTCTCCCTCTCTCTTTGGTCAAACTGAATAATAAAAAATAAAATCAAATAAATTTTTTTTTTTTTAAAAAGGAACTTAATTCATTTGGAGTTAATTACTTCATAATATGTGATATTGAATGAAATTCTACTTTCTCTATAAAGAGAGCCACGTTTTTCTCCAGTCCTACTTATTGAACGGTTTCTCCTTTTCCCACTTGCTTACAAGGACATGCCTCCTCTGTCACATTACAGTTTATGATTAACTTACTTCATCCCTGCTCCAGGTTCTTCGCCTCGTAATTGTTAAATGATCAGGAGGCTCTGCTGCTTGAGGTCTTGGATCACCAGACCGACCATTGTTTCCTTCTGGTGTTTTGGAATTAACTAATGGAGGGATCTTTCGGAAGTTGAGACTTTCATCAAAAACACGATCGACCAACTAATAGAACAAAAGCAAACTCTTATGAGAAAAGAATAATTTGAAAAAGTACAGATATTGGCATTATAACTTTTATGATTAGACAGAAGTCATTCTATTCTTAAGTAGTAATAGAGCATGATCCTCAATAAACCAATTACTCTTTTTTAAACAATCACTTCAAAGGTATTACCTTCATAAAATATGTGTTAATCTACATAGAGTTTATCTCCAAAATATGTAACTATTAAATTTAATTCTTCCATAGATATTTTCTCCAAATGAAAAAGATAATACAAAAAAGTTGTGCCATGTAGATAGATAGACAATGAGTTCATTTTACTCACATTGCCTTACCAGTGTAAAATAATGTTTCTTTCTTTTAGTTTCCTATCTCCTTTTTTTCCTGTTTCTCTCCCCAAATCCAGGTGCAAATTTCTTCACAAGATACATAAATTGCAAATTCCAATTAAGTTTACAAAAGAAAAAAGAATTTAAATCCACAAAATAAGTATTTTGGTTTTAGTCAAATTAACTTTAAACAGTACTACAAAAATTACATATTCCAATAAAAATGATATACTGCCACCTACAGTACAAATTACAGACATACAATACTAAGTATCTCGGGTTTACTGAAGAAAGAATAAACTCTAATAAAATATTCTGGAATAAAACAAAAAAAATGGAATCTGTTCAATGAAATGTTTGAGTTATTTTACTGGGTCTGAGTGAAGGTATAATAATGTTAAGGCAAAATTTAGTTAGAAAGTGAGAAAATAAGATCATCATATTAAATGTACCAGAAGAATTGTGTACGTCTTGCCACCAAGAAGATCTTTTTGTTTTTCACCAATAAGGATGATTTTTATATACAGTAACAATTGACCAATGTGGTAACAAAACTCTACACAGACTGATAAAAGATCATTTATTAAATTAGACAACACATGAAGGAAAAAATAAACACACAAATGTGACTATTAAAGAACTAGATTAAATAAGGAATATAACAAAAAGCAACCAAAGAAAATATCATCAGCTAAGTTGACCAGAATTTGTCAAAAAGGGCTAGCCAGTTTTGGCTACTATTTAGAACATTATTTTATTAAATTTAGGAAGGAGAATATTCAACATATAAGAACAATTTTTTTTAAAAGAATAGACAAATATTTAGGCTTTGCAGCCATAAAGTCTGGCTCCACTACCCAATTCTGCCACCACAGCACAGAATTAGCCATAGATGATAGTTTAACAAATTAGTTTGAATGTGTTCTAATAAAACCTTACTGATGGACATGGAAATGTGAATTTCATATAATTTTCACGTTGCAAAGTATTCTTTATTTATTTTAACCTTTTAAAAATGTAAAAACCATAGCTTTTAGTCTGCACGAAAACTGGCAGTAAGGCCATAGTTTGTCAACTATTGGATAGGGAAATTCATTCTTTTAAGGGCAAATCTTTCCCTTGCATTTCTGTCCCAGATCAAAATAGCCAATACAGCCAGAGAGTACCAATTTTATATTATATATTAAGGGTCCCTTTTGAAGTAATGTTACACAAATTGAGCCTCCCAAAGTTGTAATATAGGAGGTCCGGGTTTGGGAAGGAGAATAATATATATGTGTTAACTTATGTTAAAGAGCTAATAAGAATATTCTGAATATGGGTGCATTTTTATGTGTGTGTATATATGTTTAAGTTTTCAAAATATCCTTGTGTGTTTACACACATGTAAGTGCGTTCAACAACTGCTATTAAAAATGAAAACTGTAGATTTTTTTCTTTCCTTTTGCTATCAGAAATCTCCTAGTTAACTGTCAATGAAAATACATTTATAATTGGAGTATTTTTATTGTCTAACTTCCTAAACACTTAATAAAATCATTTATCAAATTTTGGCTAGCTTTTCAAATACCATTCATATTCACATTTCAAGAGAAACTACTGATCAGGAATCAGCAGGGAAAGTGCTTATTCTCAATGAATTTCCAGTTTTATGTTAATAGTAGACCAAATGTTAGCCTTTACTAGTTTTGTTACAAAAACATGAAAGAAATTCATTAAAGCAAAGTTGGAAAATGCAGAGCTTCATGCAAACAGGGAGGGTGGACAGAACTAAAATAAACTAAGCAAAAAGCTAAAAGCAAAAGAAATAAAGAAAAGAAAGAACCTTATGCATTTCTCCATGAAGATCTCCTACCTCTTCTCTAGTGTCTATGGCAGAGCCAGGGGTGGTGGCAGCAGTGCTTACTGTGGTACTAGGGGCAGTGCCTGAAGAAGTCACTGAATCTATCTCTCCTGCTACATCGTTGATCTCCCGAGCAATGAGAGCAAGATCTTGGCTGATCCTGGTAATAATTTTAGAAAAGAAGTTTAACCTCTTTTAAATAACAACACTAGAAAGAATCACTATCATAGAATCAGTTACACAGAGCATGCATATCTCATTAAAAATTTTACACATAATTTAAGATAGCTTGAAAATGCTATTATATTTTGAACTCAAAGTCTTAAACTTAAAATTCTAAAAATTATATTAATGAAATTGAATTCCAAATACAAAAGTATTTCAAAAAGTTCATGGAGATGGAATTAAAACACCAGTTTATTTTGGGACAAAGGCATTTGAAATCATGCAGTTTTTTCAAAATGGGCATTTTCCACGAACTTTATGAAAAACCCTCAGAATCCCTCATAATCTAAGAGATATGACTTTGAAAAAGATAACCGAACATTCTTAAGTAGAGATATGTGTTTAAAAATATACCATTAACATTTAATGATTAAAATTAATTTGAAAGAACTTCAAAAGTTTCACGGAAGATAGTTAAAATATGAGTTTATTTTGGTGCAAAACTTTTAAAAAATCCATTTGTAGTTTTTCTAATAATATACATTTTTTTTTTTTTGGAGAGGTTTTCGCTATAGGGCGCGTGCGCTCGCCAGACAGAGAGAGACATAGAGACAGAAAGCGAGAAATCACCCCCCAGGGGGGATGGTCACGCCGCAATCCCTTCTCCTCCATTCTCCTCTCGGGATCTTGGGCACGCACGCACACGCGCCCGGCGTGAGATTTAAGCCACCGGGTCCGAGACGCGAACCGCGGTCGACTACGTGGGAGTCCAGCGACATAGCCATTACGCTAACTGCTGGTTCCCTAATAATATACATTTTTGACAAGCTTTTTTCAAAGATTCCTTCGTATATCACTGGAGCCCTTAAGATTGGGGGTGAAAGAGAGAATTCAGTCTGAACTTACATAAGAAAAAACAATTACAATTTTGCTTTCAGTAATGTTCAACTGACTCAAGATTTCTTTCTATTATAAATACAGGCAAGAAATCATAGTTTTTTCAGCAATACTGGTGATTTTTGTCATCAATCAAAATCACACTATATTTCCTACAGGTATCTCAAAACATTACTTATAGTCATTCTTCAAAATTACTGTAATCATTAAGCATTTCATTTAATATGTTAATAAAGAACCATATATCACTTCAAAATTTTGATAACTAGATTTCAATAAAATGGCACAGAAATTCAAATAGATTTTAAAAGAGTACCTAAGTTAAACCTTACGGACCAACAGAAGCAATTTATGGCCAATTAATAAAAGCTTTTCAGAAATGATAGATGACTACTTCTTTTGTTTAAAAATTAAAATAATACATTTTAATATTATCAAGGCTCATGTCTACCCTTACCCCTCCACAGTATATGCTTCAATTATGTTTTAAAATCTCGTTCATTAAAATGGATTGCAACACATAGAAATACTTCATTATATTACTTTATAGACTATAAGAAGACCCACACTGTTTAATTCTAGCCACTAAAATTAACATACTTCCTACTAAAATAATAATAATAAATTTTTAAAAATCAGTCCTCTAGCCTAATTAGGGGAGCCAGATCTCATGTCTGACCGTGGTTCAAACCCCAGTCCTGATAGCTGGGAAAACACACTGGGTGCACATACACATGTACTCAGAATCCTGACAAAATGGAGAAATTGAGTAAGGACTGCAATGTGACAATGCCCCTTTGAGGGAATGCTTTCTCCCTCTCCCTCTTCCCCTCTAGAGAGTGTAAGCACCCTCTAGTAATTAAAGAATATTGATAAAAGCATTTGGGAAAAAAAGAGAGCACAACATTTTTAATAATATATTAAAATCACTAGCAATTTGGTTTTGTACTGTTTAAGGTTACCATATATTCGTAACTTTAACTGCAAATATTTTAGGCTTGAAAATATAAACTATAGTTCTATCTTTAAATGTTTTCAACTATATTTGATCAGTAATGATTTTATTTGAATTTCACTAATAAAAATAGTATACAGAAAAGAGTTAGTATTATTAGAAGTCTTTGTCTACAGTGCCAGGTGACTTTACTTTGATAAATTGAAGAATGGAAGTGATGAGTATTCTCTGACATGACTATTTAAAAATCATTTAAATATTAAAAACAGACCACTCATATACTAATGTTCTTATTATCAGAACAAAATAACATTTTCAAACAACTGAGTTTGAACTAAAAATATGAAACAAACCTTGGGTGGAATATTTAGATATACATAGGGTAAGTCTAGTAGAGGATTTTATAATCTGGGGGAACTTGTATTGATTCTGAAATTATAGCAATACCTGGATTCTTGTAAACCTGAATTTTTGAGATGGTCAGAAGGCTCAAAGTTCAAAAAAATGTTCAAAGCATAATCATACACCACTACTTTCTGTGCATTCCTCTTAAACACACCTAACATTTATGGATAGCTACTGTATGTTAAGAACTAGGTTAGGTATATGCATCAATCTGTCAACTCTCCAGTTAACACTTTTTACTATATCGATCCTACAGATGAGATCACTAGAGCACAGTTAACTAATCTCTCAGGGATCACACAGACGCTGTAGTAGAACTGGGTTTGTATCCATTCGGTCTGATTCCAGAGTCATGCTCACCATTCCGCTACACTGCATCCCTAAGATTGGATTATCCCTTGGAGCTCAGCAACATTCAGTTTACTCACTATTCCCTGGTGATGTCATTTACTCCCTGGCTCCAAGTGTTTATTCTACAATTACGATTCTAGCTCTCACTGGCTTCCTGTGTTTCAAAGCTATAGTTCAATTGTCTGCTAAGACTTTTTTTTCACATGGCTATCCTATAAATATCTTAGTGTCAGTGTGCCTCTGGTTTCTGTGTTTCCTACTCTTGTTTTACCTTCATATCTCTCATTCATTTGTTCATTTGTACCTTCACCAACACTATACTAACCTGAGGTCTTTAACAGATCACTAGTTTATCTATAGGCTCTCTTTCCTCTCAAACAACTCCATATAATACCTTTAGAATTGCCTTCCTATAATACAGATCCCTTGTTAAATCTTCAAAGTACATAAGATACTATGCGCACTTTCTAGCTGGGGTTCTAAGTCTCCCATTAATTAGCTGGCTTTGCTTTATCTGCACTGTGGTCACCCATCAACTGTACACTTGAACATCTTATATTTGAGCAAAACTTTATACCTTACAGCACTCTAACATATACACCTTTGCTTCTTTCCTTCGACTGTAAACACTGAGGACATTTGTGCCATCTTCACAATTCCCTCAGGCTAAACATTGTTATGTTTACAGGAGTTGCGTAAAAGTATTTTGGTGATGAGGGCTGTGTGCATATTATGCATATGTAAATTTGATTCAAACCAGGACTTCTGAGGTGTATGCAGAAACAGGTACCATCTTTGCAATAATACTTTCAGCTAATATGAGAGTAAGATATTACACTGGGTCTGTCATTTAATACTCTCATGTAATGTAACTACAATAAACTGATTTGTTCACCCTTGACATAAAATATTATTAATTAAAACTTGCTCTTGAAAAATACAATATGAAGGTACAATGACATGTATAATGAATCTAAGACACTGAAATATCTTTTTTTGGAGAGGTTTTTGCTATAGGGCACGTGCGCTCACCAGAAAGACAGAGAGAAACAGAAAGTGAGAAATCATCCCCCAGGGGGGATGGCCATGCCACAATCCCTTCTCCTCCATTCTCCTCTTGGGATCTTGGTCACGCACGCACACGCGCAGCCCGGCATGAGTTCAAGCCACCAGGTCCAGGACTCAAACCACAGTCGGCTACATGGGAGTCCAGTGACATAGTCATTACACCAACTGCTGGTCCCCTTTTAAGTGCCTTCTGATTTGGAATGGAAATTATGTAATCATCCAGTATAATAATACATTTTTACATAAAATGTATTCTGTCATTGGTAAAGGTGTTTTGTAGCTAATATTTATAAAACTATTGAAATCTATTAATTTCCTACTGGAAAGAAATCAGTGTCTGTGCTATAATAGAGAAAATGGGGCAGGGGCCACAAAAGCATGTGGACAAAAAGCTTCCTCTTCAAACAGAAAGAAAAAGTACACTATACTTTACTTGTACATTGCATTTGGGTGTATCTCATCTTTGTGTCTTAAATATAAATTCAGGTTAAATAATTACTATAGACATTAACAGAGTGCTGGTTAAATGAAATAGCCATACGTTCTAAACAAAAAGATGAGTATCAAAGTAGAAAACATTTTGTAATTAAAATTCACTATTATACCTTCCAAATAAAAATATCTTTACCTATTATTCTTCAATACATATTGCTCTCAGCATATGGGTTAATTATTTAAGTGACAGTAGTCCATACAAAAAATTATTTCTGACATTTCACTTAGTTCGTCATTCATAGTCAATTGAAAATAAATTTTGTCACATTAAGCAGACTTATCATTGCCCTGTAGGAACATTAAACATCAACACTGACTTCCTTTCCTTCCACATTTTGTATCCTTCCTTCCTTTTCTGCTTTCTTTTCCTCCATAAAAATAAAACAATTCCCTGGCTTGGAGATATATGACTTAAAAATACATCTTAAAAAATTAAAATCCCAAAGGCAAAATTTATTAGCACATTGTTACTGACAAACTAAAAAGAAAAGACATTAAAATCATTAGAGGTTAAATAGCCTTGACTGAGAGTCTTGTAACAGATAATAAAATACACATAGACAGTAGTAAGTAAATGCAACGCATATAACAAAATGGAATCAAGTGAAAATATAATGTATAGCCTCTATTCTGTCTTCCCTGTTATTATAACTCATTCATATTTGGGGGAAAGGAATTAGGTTTGGCCCAGAAGACGACAGCTTTTAGCCTTTCTAGTTTGGGATAAAGAGATTGAGAGGGGAAACCTCTTGAGAGGAGGTAGACATACATTTAGTTCACCCAGGTGTTACTTGACCTAGTGCAACTGGAAATCTCTTCCATGAGAAGAAAAAATAATTTGAGAAAATATCAAGACCCGCTGTTGCTAGCTGGGCCCAAAGAAGAAAAAAAGGTGTCAAAATTCTTACTACAAGCATTATGTGGGCTCATAATTATCCATAGGTCCCCAAGCACACTCAAGGGAACTTCAAAAAAATCCACAGAAACACTTTCAGTAAAAAAAAAACTTTGAAATCCATGCAGTATTTTCATAACACACCTTTTCCATAAACTTTGTGAAGATACCTACATGTGCACATCCTCTAACTAGAACTGACTTAAAAATGCCTCAATAATTACTCTTATAAAATACCATTTGTATTGTAAAACAAAAGTGTTATGGCCAGCCAGTGACCTGGTGGTTAGGTGGTTAGATCGTACATGGCCAATGGTGGTTTGAGTCCTAGACCCAGTGGCTTGAAAAACCTGCTAGATTTATGTGTGTGCCTAAAATCCTGAAAGGAAAGGTACTGCAGTGAGGCTATCCTCTGAGGGGTGTTTTCTCACTTTCCTTCTCTCTCTCTCTCTCTCTCTCTGTTTTGCTCTGCCTCTCTCAGTTTTGCTCTGCCTCTCTCTGGAGAGTGCACACACGATAGCAAATTAAAAAGTTTCAAGTAGCACAATGAGGGCATGGTCTCCAAGAATAAAGGCAATTATAAGTGAATACTTAATGAGCTACAAAAAATACAAGTCATATTATTCAACAAAATGAAAACAACAAAAAAACCACCTGTTATAGTTTGGATAATGGTTTGTTTCCCAAAGGTTCATGTGTTGCAATATGGTCCCCAATATAATGGCTCTGGGATGTGGTGAGACCTTCAATGTGGGCAAGTACCTTGCTAAGTTCAAAACAAAAAGATGAGTACCATCTTTTTGTGATCGAAATGTGAGTTATTGGACTAAGAGAGGAAGACCTGGTCTTTGATGGGAGAGGGCACCACACAATCATCTGTTGATTGAGAGGCACAAATAGGGGAAGTAGAAAAATCTTTTTTCTCTTCCTTCCCTTTTCTCTCTCTCTGCAGAAGCCTGCCTTTCTTTCTCTGTTTCTGTCAGCCATGTGGTGATCACATGCCAGCCACAAGTTGGTCCCATGACTTTGGACTTTCCAGTCATCAGAGTCATGAGCCAAATAAACCCATATTCTTCATAAATCACCTACTGTCAGGTATTTTTGTTTAGGAACACAATAATAAATTTATACAATTATGGTAAAAGTTTTTTTTTTCTGAAACCATTTATGGACTATAGTACTGTACATATGATCTTTAATAATACTGCCAAGTATAAAACTTGAAGATTAGGGTCTTAAAGTAAAAAGCAGAAATAATTTCAGTATATATAAATAGTGACAGTGTTTAGGTAATACACATATACTGCAGCAAAATTTAATATCTTACAAACTTTAAACATGACACATATATTTTAATTACTAAAGCATCTGCTTGAGTATAATCTCTCTTGAACATTCAAACTAAGTTAGTAATTAAAAATCACATTTGCAGCATATTTATATATAGTCTAAACATTATAATAATTTTAAATATTCAAAATAATAATTTTGATTTATGAAAGGATTGAACTAATTATACTTAATTAACTCATAACAGTATGAGTGAAAATCTGCGTACTCCAAATTTCCCTAGAGACCATTAGCAACCTATCTCTAACATGTATAATATTACCTCTTTGGAAATTAAAAGGAAAGTAATCAGTAAATTGCCTGAACAATTCTTAGTTATACACAGCTGATATGGACTACCATTCAAAGTTGCACTTACTCAGTGATGTTTGTACTAGAAATTTAAAAGAGGGGAAGGGGATAAAATAAATATATTCTACAATGTTAGTTGCACTGGCATCAAACAACGAACCAAGGAAATAGATGCATAGGAAGTAATATCACTGTCCAAACTGAGTTCACACTTATCTGCGGATTTTATTTCTTGAACTACTAGTATAAATTAAAATTTAAGCTTTGTTTACCAAGTTGAAAAGTTGATAGAAATTTGCAACTCTTAAAGAAAACTCTAAAACCAACCTGGCTATCTCTTCTCGATGAGCTGTCCAATCTCGGATGTAGTCTTCCTGTTCTTTAATTCGGTGCTTGAACGAAGAACTAGTAGGCATTGCTGATCCAGTGCTCTGCAAGCGTGTGGTTTTCAGGGCTGGAGAAGTACGTAGACGAGTATGTTTAGGGGAATTACGGTTTGATCCAAATTCATCTTCTGAGGTGGAAGCATAATCAGTAGGAAAGCGCCTCCATCTTGAATTTACTAAATTAGTTTAATTATTAAAAAAAGAATTATTATGTTATCATTTAAAGGAGATAAAAAAATGATTTCAAACACCATGAGAGCGCACACACAGCACAATTTTCAATAACTGACATACACATACCTCACAAAAACCATAAGTCTACTTCTCCTTAAAGAGAGAAACATTACACTTTGGTGAATTGAAACAATGAATAATTAAAACAATCAAAAGACCATGTTTTCCATAGTGTAGTGAATAAACATTCAGATGAAAATTTTCGCTAATGATAAACTAAGCAAGCTCTATTAAATGTTTAACTTGGGAACTTTTCAATTGCAAATATTTCTCATTTCAGTGAAAATATGGATTTAAAAAATGACAGCAACAACACCACCAACAACAAAAATAAAAACAAGGGAAAAGATTTCCTCATGCCACATGGACTTTCAACATGGAGATGGAAAAAAAAAAAAAAACTCTTTTCCCAACATAGAAATGTACATAATTCCTG